GTCGTGCCCCCCTTTGGCGGGGGACCCCCTTGCCGCCGGTGCATTGGTGGCTCTCGGTGTCTGGGCTGGGTGGTGGGGTGCACGTCGGTCTGCCCTGGTTGCTGCCTGGCGGGGCCTGGGTGCCCTGGCTCTGTCGGGGCTCTGCCGGGGGGTGGTATGGCCTCGGGGCTTGGGGCTCGGTGTCCATGGCCGGATCTACTTGGGGGGGGCATGGGTCGCCGGCCGGACCTGTGGGCTCGTCGCTGCAGCTTCCTGGAGGCTCTGCATTGTGGTGGCTGGGGTCACCCGGTTCTTTCCTCTGCTCCTCTCTGGGGGGGTGCGGTTCTCCCTGTTGGGAGACTCCTGGGGCTCCGGGCCTGTGGGCCGCTGTGTGTCTGTGGCTCCGGTCCTCCCTATGTTGCCATTGTGTCCTGGGGGACGGGTCTGTGGGCCCCCGCGTCCACTATTGGGCATTCTTTTGGAGAAATCTGGTGGTGGCAGGCGTGCTTGCGCGGGTGTTTGGATTCAGGTGCTGTGACAGATGCACGCTAGGTTGGGTAGTGGTGGAAGCTAGATGATTCCTTGTGCAATGTCGAATGTTTCATGGTGATATTGTGGGTGGCATTGTGCTGTGCATGTTGTTTTGTCGTGGTGGTCTCTCGTTTTATCTATTTCTCTTTTATTATTTAATTATTCTTCTTTCTTCTCTCTTTAAAAAAAAAAAAAAACAATTGAGCGATGATTGAAACACTTCACAATGTTTCTACACTTAAACTGAGCTCAAAAAAAAAAAAAGCCAAAAAAAGAGAAAAATCGAGTGAGACAAATATAGATTTGCAAGGGGTACAGAACTGTCCCCTGCCTCTGGTGGATTTGAATAGAGAATGTGTTTTTTGGAGAGCTAGTTTTGTTTTTCTGGACTGGAATTGAACAGGGATTGCATGTGAACCTAAATGTCTTTGTTGCAAGATAATAACGTGAGTAGGAGTTACACTGTGTAGAAGAACAGAAGTAGGTATCCATCCCTCCATCCATTATCTTCCACTTGGTCTGAAGTCAGGCTGCGGGGGCAGCAGCTTGAGTAGGAAGGCTCAGACATCTTCTTACAAAGCCACCTATTTCAGCTCTTCTGGGAGGACTCAAAGGTGTTCCCAAGGCAACCGAGAGACATAGTCTCTCCAGCGTGTCCTGGGTCTTCCCCAGGGTATCTTCCCAGTTGGACATGTCCGAAGTACCTCCCTAGGGAGGTGCCTAAGGAGCATCCTCATCAGATGATAGAACCACCTCAACTGGCTCATCTCGATGTGGAGGAGCAGCAATTTTACTCTTTCCTGGATAACTGAACTTCTCACCCAATTTCTAAGGGAGAGTTTAGCTATCCTGCAGAGGAAACTCATTTCAACCGCCTGTATCTGCGATCTCATTAAAAATGAGATACAGATCTGGGTCACTATCCAGAGTTTGTGACCATATGTGAGGGTAGGAATGTAGACTGACTGGTAAACGGAGAGCTTTGCCTTACAGCTCAGCTCCCTCTTCACCACAATGGATCGGTACAGAGTCCGCAATACTGCAGATGCTACACCAGTCCATCTGTCAATCTCACGCTCTCTTCCTCCCTCACTCGTGAAAAAAAAAAAAATAACAAGATACCTGAACTCCTCCACTTGAGGCAAAATCTTACCCTCGACCAGAAGAGAGCAATCTATATTCTGCTTGAGGACTACGACATCAGATTTAGAGGTGCTGATTCTCTTCCCAGCTGCTTCACACTCGGCTGCAAACTGCTCCAGTGAAAGCTGAAGATCATGGCATGATAATGCCAACGGGAGCATATCATCTGCAAAGAGCAGAGATGGATTCCTGAGGCCATTGAACTGGAATCCCACACGGCTGACATGATGCGCGAGTATACTGGAGCCTTAAGGAGAGTAACGCCCCTATAATCGGAGCACACCCTCCGGTGCCCATTTTTGAAGAGGGGAACCACCACTGCAATCTGCCAATCCAGTGGCACTTTCCCTTATGTCCACACAATGTTGCAAAGGTGTCTAGTCCCACAACATAAAGGGCCTTAAAGGGCCTTCTCCTCCTCCGCTCCTGTTTCCTGGAATATCTTGCAAAAAGATTTGAAGCTCCTGACCTTGAGCTCTAAGTGGCTTTAAGCATCTGTTAAGTTTCTGGCAAAAACCAATGCAGACATGTTCCTGTTTTTAGTATTCTACACCGCCTCGTAATCTAGCTGTTTTCCCCCCACTACTTTTCCTTTTAATTATCCTTTTAATTACCATTTTATTTTTATTTGTAAAAAAAAAACCATACATCCTTTATGATTGTCTATTGTTGTCATTGTTGTCCACTGCTGTCATCACTCTTTGTTAAAATTCAGGTCTCTCTTGTAAAAGAATCCTCATGGCTCAATGGAACTAACATGTATAAATAAAGGTTGAATGAAAAAACATCCAGAGCCTTAAGGAAATCAGGGTAAAACTCATCCAACCCCCACAGCCCTGTTGCTGTGGAGCTTTTTATTTACCTCGACATCCTACGGTTATGGACAGACCAACCCCTAAGTCTCCCAACTCAGCCATGGACATGCTAATGGGATTGAGAAGCTCCAAGAAGTATTCCTTTCACCTCCAGGTGACATCTCTGACTGAGGTCAACAGCAACCTACATTCACTGAAAACAGTGTTAGTAAAAGAGCTGCTTTCAGTTCCTCAGATTCCTGATGGTTTTCCAGAATCTCTTCGGAGCTGGCCAAGATTCTTTATCCAAGGCCTCACCGAACTCCTCCCCTATCCAAGCTGAGGCTTTTGCCTGAGCAACAGCCAAGGCTGTGGACTGCTTGGCCCTCCGGTACTCCTCAGCTGCATCTGGAGATCCACAAGCCAACAAGGACTGATAGGACTCCTTCTTCAGCTTAACAGCCTTCCTAGCTCAGGGTGTCCTTGACAGCCTCCCTAACCTGGGGTGTCCAGCAACATGTTCAAGGATGGCCACCTCGAGAAGCACCAACAATCTTGCGGCCACAACTCAAGGCAGTCACTTCAACAATTAGGGCACGGAACATGGCCCACTCGAACTCAATGTCCCTTGCCTCAGCTGGAATGTGAATAAAGCTCTCCCAGAGGTGTGAGTTGAAGATCTTTCTGGTGGGTTATTCTGCCAGGCATTCCCAGCAGACCATCACTACACATTTGGGTCCGCTGGGTCTATCCAGCATCTTCCCCCACCATCTGATCCAACTCTGTACCAGGTGGTAATCAGTTGACAGCTCAGCTTCTTTCTTCACCCCAGTGTCAAAACAAATGCCTGCAAATCAGATGACACAACTACAAAGTCAGTCATCAATCTATGACCTAGACTGGTGCCAAGTGCACTTATGTTTGAACATGGTATACATGATGGACAAACTATGACAAGCACAGAAGTCCCACAACAAAACACCACCCGGGTTCAAATCAGAGATGTCGTTCCTCTCAGTCACACCCCTCCAAGTCAGACTGTCATTAACCACGTGGGCATTGAAGTGCCCCAGCAGAATAAAGGAGTCCCCAGCTTGCACACCTTCCAGCAGTCCCACCAAGGGCTCTAAGAAGGCTGGATACTCTGAACTGCCATTTGGTGCATAGAACAAACAAGAATCAGAGCCTGTCCACATCCCCCACCCCAACCCGAAGGCATAGGGAAGCCAGCCTCTCATCCATCGGGAAAAACTCCAATACACAGGCACCAAGTCGGGGAGCCAAAAGCAGACCCACACCAGCTTAGCGCCTCTCACCATGGGCAACTCCAGAGTGGAATAAAGTCCAGCCCCTCTCAAGGAGATTGGTTCAAGAGCCCATGCTCTGCATCGAGGTGAGCCCAACTATATCTAGCCAGTACCTTTCAACCTCACGCACAAGCTCAAACTTATTTTATGCCAGAGAGGTCACATTCCATGTTCCAAGAGCCAACTTTGGTAAAACAGGGTCAGAGTGCCAAGGTCCTTGCCTTTGGCCATTGTCCATGGAGTCATGCACCCGACTCACATGGCCACTCCTGCAGGTGGTAGGCCCACGAGAAGGCAAACCCATGTTACTCATTTAGGCTGAGCCTGACTGGGCACCTTGGGTAGTGACCCGATAACCAGGCACTCGCTGATGAGCCCCTTCCCCAGGCCTGGCTCCAGGGTGGACCCCAGTAACCCATGTCTAGGCAAAGGACACTGAGCTACTTGCTGATTACTGTCTATAAGAGTCTTCTAAAGTCTTCCTTCAGAAGACTTATGGGCAGAGGTAAGTATTTATTTATTGTTTCTTGTCCAAGGCAAACTGAAATAGGCTCAGCATAAATAATAATCAAAATTCTCTGATTTTCTATTCCAAATGGTTCTTGCATGCACATCACAGTTGGTGACCTATTTTCAGTCACTTCGGCTGTTTCAGCAGGTAAACCAACAAATGTGGCCATTGGCAGCTGGTCACAAATGTTCCATCTATCCATCCATCCATTGTCTTTTACCCGTTTTTTTTTTTTTTCGGGTCGTGAGGTTCACTGGTGCCCAGGTCCAGCAGTCACTGTGCGAGAGGTTGGGGACACCCTGGACTGGTCGCAAATCCATCATAGGGACACATGGAGACAAACAAGACAAACAGCCATTCAAACTCCCACTCACACCTAGGGACAATTTAGAGTTACCAGTCAGCCTAACATGCTTGTTTTTGGTTTATCGGAGAAAACGGGAGCATCTGGAGATCACCCACGGATGCACAGAGAGAACATGCAAACTTCACCCAGAAAGGTCCTGCCTGGGCTGGGATTTGAACTGGCAACCTTCTTGCTTAGAGGCAACAACTCTACCAATTTAGCTGTCGTGCTGCCGGTCACAAATTGTCTTCTTTCTTTGAAGGACACATTTACATGAATATGTGAAAAAAATGTGCCAATTTAGTGTTTTACTTGATTTTTTTTTTGCCGGACATTATGACTGCAATGAGGAGCTTTATGCTAAAATACACAAATGCCACTCTACTCACCTAAGGTTCCACAGGGTTTGTTCTTGTAGGTGCAGATGTCATATCTAAAAGTAAAAAAATAAAGGAAAATTACAAAAATATCAGAGTACCTCTGAATCTTTTTTCTTCTACATTTACAGGGCATTCCTTGACTGACCATCTACATACATTGTGTCCAGACATAACCTCAGTCTTGAGTGTAACAATAATGATGTTATGTGGTATGTTCCCAGGTATGGTTCTAGGGCCGTTTACATGAAAATGACCTTTGAAAACATTTGTGTTATTTTAATGGTTATTGGGAAAAATAAACAAAAAAATAACCCATTGACATGGAAACACTGTAGTTAACATGCCAGGAGGGGTTGCCAGATAAGAAATTATGAACTATTGTACTGTTGCTTTAAAATATTTGTATTTTGACCCACACTGTCCTCTGTGCTGAAGGAGAATTTTGTAAGATGTGGTGTGTGTTGTGTTTGGTGAACATGTGCACAGAAAAGGAGGGGTAAAAGAACACATTCATGTTTATCTAGCAACCATAGCGTTGCAACAATTATATGTGAAGGGGATGTGTCCCCATCACATTTAAAAAATATTAATTTGGACCCCACATTTACTGTAAAATATTAGTTCACCCAGCGCGGTTTTTATTTCTTTGTGAACAAATCTATTCCACTTGATTTAATAGGAGAATATTCAAACCAGTAAAAGTCCACTCTGGGTTTTCCTAGTTACCTACAACTACTCACCACAAGCATGTAGTGTGTCCCCCTAGATCACTTGGTTTGGCAGGACGCTCATCTGTTTGGTGTTTTTTGTGGACGGGGCGGGGGAAGGAGGGGGAGACACTTCTGTGTTGCATGCTAGCTTAGCATCACAGTAGTGCCGGCAGTTGTTGACCAGGGTGGTGGTGGTGGTAGGGGTGTTTGGATGTGTGAGAGAAGTGGATTGTGTAGCACCGTAGCAAGCTGCACGCCGCTAGCTTAGCGCTATGTTAGTGCCGGCAGTTGACTGTGTGTGTGTGTGTGTGTGGGGGGGGGGTTGTTAGGATGTGTGAGAGAAGCGAAGCATGCTCTAGTCACACAAGGCACAAGGAGAGCTGTTGGTCAAACTTCTTGTTCTGCCATGCTCTCTAAAATAGTTAATGAATCAAGTGTTTAGTTATGTAGGTAAATGTTGAAGTGTAACAACCCATTAAAATGCACCAGAATGCAGGAAATGGCATCTAATTTATTCAAAATTATTTGGGGGAAGACACTCAGACCCCCCACCAGTGGGTTCCCCTAAATTACAAATGCTTCTGATGCCAATGCTAGCAACCCTGATCGCAGTTGTATCTATATTGGTGAATACATTAGCATTCTACTGGACAAAGGAAGTTGTTGGTTTGTTTTTGCATGCTAAAAAAGGATGAATAGCGCAAAAAATGCACAGTTCTCTGCCATCTTTTATAACTGTTGTTAGAGCAGAAAAACTTTTGACTGCAGCTGCCTGGTGTGTGCATGTGCAATTTCACATCTGATGAGTATGTCACACGTTTGCTTGGGGTTTCTCTGAAAACCTCCAATCTGAGACCCTGATTGAGAAAACTTCAGTTTCAGAGAGAGTGAGTGCTTGTTGATGTGTACACCAATGGCTGAACCCGAGCAAAAAAAGCTCTGGTTTCACTAAAAGAACTTGTCGTGTACATAGAACCTAGAAAAACACCTAGATCACTTGTCCATTTAATGCATGAGCTCTCTGTGAGATTTAAAGAGGCTAACACACAGAAATAGAAGGGCTTTGGTCAGGCTATGTTCCTGTCAGTAACTCCACATATAGGTAATCCAATAGAGCAGGAGAAAGCTTAAATCTGCTGTGCTGGAAAAACACATAATACATTTAAAATCCATCCATCCATCCATTTTCTTTACCCGTTTATTCCATTTTTGGGTCACGGGGGTCGCTGGTGCCCATGTCCAGCAATCACTGTGCGAGGGGCGGGGTACACCCTGGACGGGTCGCAAGTCCATCACAGGGACACATAGAGACAAACGAGACAAACAACCATTCACTCTCTCACTCACACCTAGGGACAATTTAGAGTTACCAATCAGCCTAACATGCATGTTTTTGGTCGGTGGGAGGAAACCGGAGTACCCGGAGAAAACCCACGCATGCACGGAGAGAACATGCAAACTCCACCCAGAGGGCCCCTGGACCGGGGTTTGAACCAGGGACCTGCTCGCTGAGAGGCAGCAGCTCTACCAGTTGCGCCACCGTGCTGCCTACATTTAAAATGATTGATCAAATCGTTACTAAAACTTCTTGTTTAACAAAACCAAGAGAACAGCAAAATGTAATTTTATTCTCCTTCCATTTTCTCCTCCCACTCATCTCCTTTCTCCAACCCAAAAAGCTATAATTATGATCTTTCGTTTGTTTGGACTAATGTCCCCAATTTTTCCATTTCCTTTTCTAAACATGTTATTTTCCAAACAGAGGTGAAATGTTCCCTGACACAAGGACTGACATTAAAACAGCAGTGCTGCTAAAGTCACTTCCTTTATGATAAGTTAGAAACAAGGAGCTGTCCTAAAGAGAAAAGGCAGCAACAGGAACATCAGAAACAGCACACCATGAAGGCTGCAGCACCCTGAGGTGCAAAGCACAACAAACAACAAACTGAAATATTTGTTAGCAATACATGACCCAGACCAAAACAGACCAGGTTAGTAAATTATTCAATTCATTTCACTTTATTTATATAGCTCCAAGTCACAACAGAAGTTGTCACAGGGCACTGTCCAAAAACATTGACATACCCAGGCAGAAAAGCCCAGGTACGTGAATGTGTTCATTTATTGACCAATTTGGATCCATCCATCCATCCATTATCTTTACCCGCTTCTTCCTTTTCAGGTCGTGGGGGTCACTGGTACGCATGTCCAGCCATCACTGTGCAAGGGGCAGGGTACACCTTGGACTGGTCGCAAATCCATCACTGGGCCGCATAGAGACCAATGAGACAAACAACCATTCACTCTCTCACCTAGGGACAGTTTAAAGTTATCAGTCAGTCTAACATGCTTTTTTTTCAGTCTGTGGGAGGAAACTGGAGTACCCAGGGAAAACCCACGCATGCACGGAGAGAACATGTAAACTCCACCCAGAAAGCCCCCCAGCCAGTATTTGAACCGGGCTGACCTGCTCGTTGAGAGGCAGCAACTCTACCAACTGCCCCACCATGCTGCGCCAACTTTACCTAATGGAAGCATATATAAAGTAAAGAGTACAAGTCCAAGCACTGAACCCTGAGGAACTCCATGGCTAATTTTGGTATATGAAGAAGATTCATTATTTACATTTACACACTGGAATCTATCAAACAAATGTGATTTTTTTTTATCAATGTCTTTTTATTGATTTTTTCAGAGTACACATAAAAAAGAGAGGATAAAAACATACAACAAAATCCCCTCCTACACCAGATCAGCCACACAGACACAAACACATTACATAGGTATTTACATAATATCAGCATAAGACACAAATGGCTGCCAGGTGTCCCAAAATCTTTCAACAGAACCTTTCAGAGTATATCTGATCTTTTCCAGATGAACATGACACATCCATCCATCCATCCATTATCTTTTACCGACTTCTTCCATTTAGGGTCACGGGAGTCGCCAGTGCCCATGTCCAGCAATCACTGTGCGAGGGGCGGGGTACACCCTGGACAGGTTGCAAGTCCATCACAGGGCAACATGATATATTACCTCCCTTATCCAGTGTTCATATGCCAGGGGATGCAGATCCTTCCATCTGCATAAAATATGTCTCCTGGCTAGAAAAGAGCCAAAATCTATCAAATTCCTCTCACACTTGTTGAAGGATGCATCCACAGAGGCCACCCCAAACAATGAAATGAAAGGTGATGGGTACACAGTTTTTCCACATATCCCAGAGAAGATATCAAAAACACATTGCCAATGGGTCTGCAGCTGTGGCCAAGTCCAGAATGTGTGTAAGAGCATAGCTGGAGTTTGTTTACAGCGATTCCATGCAGAATCCAGGTGATTTTTCAAAATCTTAGACAACTTGTCTTTGGACCAGTGCAGTCAGTGCATCACCTTGAATTGAACTGTAGCATGTCTCAGACAGACTGAGGATGAATAAATGTTCTGAATGATCTTTCACCAGACTGAGTCTGATATGGAATCCTCCAAGTCCATTTATCATTTCAGTTTCAGAGTCCAAGTTGGTCTCATGATATGAATTGAGCATTGTATAGATCTTGCTGAGAGCCCCCTTATTGTCAGACCTACGCTCTAATATCTTAACCACAAAAGGTTAAGAAGGGTTCAAAGGAAGCTAATCAGAGTTAGATCTCAGAAAATGTCTCAGCTGCAAGTATCTGAAAAACTGTGACTTGTGGATATTAATCTTCTGTACCAGCTGCTCAAAAGAAGCAAATCTACCATCTATATAGAGGTCACACATTGAATGCACTCCCCTCTCAAGACCCAGGTGTCAAAAGCTGTATCCACTACTGAGGGAGTAATCATATGATTATTTGACACAGGTGACAAAAACAGTAACTCTAGAGTTGAATGCCCTCCTGAACTGATTCCAAATTAACCTTATAGCCAGGTATTCTCCCAAATTTTTGAAGCAAAGTAAGTAATTCAGGAATGCTGGTGAGAGGGTCTGATATATACAAAAGCATGTCATCTGGATATAAAGAAACTTTGTGCTCTGTACCTAATCGATTCATCCCCTTAATGATGGAGTTTTGCTGTAAAGCTACAGCTAGTGATTCTGTCACTAATGCAAATAGAAGAGGTGAGAGTGGGCACCCTTGTCTTGTACCTCGTTGCAGTTTGAAATCTCTGGTTATGTTACAGTTAGGGCAGACTGCAGCCATTGGGGAGGTATAAATCAACTTCACACATGATATGAATTTGGGAACAAATTTAAATAACTTTAAAGTCCCGAAGAGATAATCCCACTCCACTCCGTCAAATGCTTTCTCTGCCTCTAACGAAAGACTAACTTTGTCACAGATGTGTTTGGGTGGTCT